GTGTTAGCCTTTGGAACTACTTACTTTACCAATGCTATAGTTATACGCAATCTTTTTGCCATTTCAAGAAAGTCAAAACGTGAGCTTCAAGGCGAAGTCCCACGCTACCATACATTAATGATTATTAATACAAACATTGAAATCCTTGAAATAAGATTACAGAATAATAATGTTGAGATAAAAAGAAATAAAGGTCTTCGGGATAAAAAGATGGTGAACAATAAATGCTAAGGGAATACATTACCAGTGTGGTGTGACCAGCAAAATTAATTTAATAGTTGATGAGGATGGTTATTAATGAACGGGGGCAAATTTTAATACGTGAGGCAAGATGAATATTTGAATATTTTAATTTAATAGTTGATGAGGACGGTTATAAATGAATGGGGGAGAATTTTAATACGTGAGGCAAATGAATATTTGAACTAGTATTTTATTATGTGCATATCACATATACAAGTAAAATATTATATTTAAAATTATAAGGTATATAATGAGTATACATTTTATAATTATGATCATTATTAGAAATTAACATTATAATTATTAAAAAAATGGGCACCATCCAAAGATGGGACATATCAAATAAATCGTTTACATGATTTTTTGTTATTATATTAGCATTATAATTGTATTCAGAACCTAAAACGATGTTACAGAACTGATCACCATAATAAATGGAACCTGTCAAAGTAAATCATCTAATTGAAAGTTACATATTATTATTAAATAGTTAATATATTTTTTATTAAATGAACACCTATTTTTATTAAATGAACTAATATTACTATTAATTGTTCGCTGAATAAAATTTATTAAAGGTTGCCAGCAATAATATATACTAGTTTTACCCCGTGCATTCACACAAAAAACGATATAATAGAAGAGAAAGTAATTAAAGATATAAAATAAAATAAAAATCATAAATTAATAAATGAGAAAAAAATAATTTACAAAAATTAAAACCTAAATATTATTAAACACTTCTTTATAAACAACATTCGT